CCTAAAACCCTAAAACCCTAAAACCCTAAACCCTAAACCCTAAAACCCTAAAACCCTAAACCCTAAACCCTAAACCCTCAACCCTAAAGCCCTAAAACCCTAAAACCCTAAAGCTCTAAACCCCAAAACCCTAAAACCCTAAAACCCCAAAACCCCAAAACCCCTACACCCTAAACCCTAAACCCTAAACCCTAAACCCTAAAACACTAAACCCTAAACCCTGATCCACATGCGGCTGCTCTGATGCTCGGAGGCCCGGGCCGACCCGCCGTTGCTCTCGATCGAGGCGAGGATCTCATTCAACTCCTCCGGCTTGCACCTGGTGGCTTTAGGGTTTAGGGTTTAGGGTTTAGGGTTTAGGGTGCAGAGTTTAGGGTTTCGGGTTTAGGGTTTAGGGTTTAGATAACACTGTTCATAATCATCAGAATAAGACAATACGTAGAACATAAAATAACAACACCAATAGCGAACATATAATATTGATGAATAACAGATATGATCATTAAGAAGATATTGGAGCCTAAGAACTCAGAACGAGGCTTGTGCGGGTAAGGCGGTTGGTGTTTAGATCTGCTGAGGCGAAGTGAGGCTTCTGCCCGTCCGCAAGTCTTGCGGGTCTTTGGCAGCGGAAAGAAGTGCGCCGGTTTTTGGGGTTCAGGGTGAGGGGTTTGTTGGGGGTTTAGGGGTGTTGGGTTTTGGGTTTAGGGTGTTAGGCACAAGGCCTCCCGGGCGACTTGCAGGGGTTTGTGACTTCGCCACTCTCCACCTCATCTTGCAACGCTTCTCCCCTTCAAAGCACTGTGGATCAGTTCGCCCCTTGAATCCTCAACCCCTAAAAAGACCCTACACCCCAAACCCTAAACCCAAAACCCGAAACCCTAAACCCTAAACCCGAAACCCTAAACCCGAAACCCTAAACCCTAAACCCCCCAAGCCCCCCAAACCCCGTGGAAACTAGAGCTGCGCTGCCCACTGATCAAGGAGCTGCGCGATCTCATCCACCACCTGCGCGTCCTGCGCAGCGGATGTCCGAACTCTCAGACCGGAGCCTTTGACACTTCTTGAAGCCCCTTGAAGCCCCTTGAAGCCCAAGCCCTAAACCCTAAACCCTAAACCCTAAACCCTAAACCCTAAACCCTAAACCCTAAACCCCAAACCCTAAACCCTAAACCCTAAACCCTAACTAAACCCTAAACCCTAAACCCTAAACTCTATAAACCCTAACCCCTAAAGCCAATTCATCCCCCCGACATCCTGCCAAAAGCCTCTATGTCCAGGAACCCAAAGGCTGATCAAACGAGGAGTGAGCTGAGGAAAGAACCGAGGCAGTGTCAGCAAACCCCGGACTTCCCCCGGATCCCTGCTCGATAAGGGTTTAGGGTTGGGTTCAGGGTTTAGGGCTTAGGGCTTAGGGCTTAGGGTTAAGGGTTAAGGGTTTAGGGTTTAGGGTTTCGGGTCAAGGGTGAAGGGTTAAGGGTTTAGGGTTGGGGTGTGGGTCTTAGTCCCCGAGCTTCCCCAAGAACAGAATCGTGGCATGCCTGCGCCATTGCGCTGCCTGACATCTTGGAGAGGTGTCGGCTTGGCTGCCATTCAGGGTTTAGGGTTTAGGGTTTAGGGTTTAGGGTTTAGGGTTTAGGGTTTAGGGTTTAGTGTTTAGGGTTTAGGGTTTAGGGCTTAGGGCTTAGGGTTTAGGAGGTGGCTTTCTGAGTTTGCTCAGGGAGGTTCAGGACCAAATCAAGATTCTTGAGGAGTTAAGCTTTTTCAAATAACACGCAGGCCCCCTCAATCCCTATAAACCGTATAAAGGAAAGGCCCACCCCAGAGCATCCAGCACGCGAACTGCAAAGGGGTGATCAGTCTTCGAATGTTCGATTGCTTGGAGTTCAGGATGTGCAGGCAGCACGGAGCTTCGACAAAAATCAGGGCTTGGAGTCCCGGGGCGTAAGTCAGGCATCCGGTTTCAGAACAGGAGCATCCCAACAACCCCGGTTCTCCTCCAACTGTAAATAAACCTTCTGGCAAAATCCTTCAAAGTTGAAGCCCAAACCCTCGTAGACCCTCTCTGGTGGCTAAACCCTAAACCCTAAACCCTAAACCCTAAACCCTAAACCCTAAACCCTAAACCCTAAACCCTAAACCCTAAACCCTAAACCCTAAACCCTAAACCCCGTGTAAACCCCTCTCTGGCGACTCTAGCTCCCAGGCGCTCTTAAAGGTGAGCCTCGCCAAAGGAGCAGGGCCAAAGAAAGGAACTGACTGTCTGAGCCCCGGGCCGCGGTAGCTTTGGGTTTGGGGTTTGGGGTTTGGGGTTTGGGGTTTGGGGTTTGGGGTTTGGGGTTTTGGGGTTTAGGGTTTAGGGTTTAGGGTTGTTGAGCTTAGAGCTTTAGGGTTCTGAAGGCCCTGAAACCTATGGACTGTCGAGGTTCAAACGTCGAGGCTCTTGAGGCTTTCGGGCAGAATCCCAGCCTCTGAGCCCCAAAAACTCTAGGGGTGTGCCGTAAACCCTAAACCCTAAACCCTAAACCCTAAACCCTAAACCCTAAACCCTAAACCCTAAACCACAGTGCGAGGTGGTCGGGAAGGTGGGCTCCCTGCTCGTGTGCAAGTTGCACACCTTGAGATGCAGTCGCACCCACATGCTGAACCCCAAAACCTGAGGTTTAGGGTTTAGGGTTTGGGGTTTGGGGTTTGGGTTTTGGGGTTTAGGGTTTAGGGTTTAGGGTTTAGGGTTTAGGGTTTAGGGTTTAGGGCTGCAACTCGAGCATCCTCTGGAGCCGTTTTTTCCTCGCCAGGAGATCATCTCCGTTACACTTTCACTGCTTTGATCTTCGACCAGACCTCGGGCAAGGGCTGCGAGGGCCGATTTGGGAACATCCCGGTTTAGGGTTTAGGGTTTAGGGTTTAGGGTTTAGGGTTTAGGGTTTAGGGTTTAGGGTTTAGGGTTTAGGGTTTAGGGTTTAGGGTTTAGGGTTTAGGGTTTAGGGTTTAGGGCTTGGCTTACGCCGGCTTAGCGGCTTAGAGCTTGGCGTTGAAGCCCGGAGACCTGTGAAGAATAGGGCTACCAGCCTGCCCCCTTCCCGCACCACCTTCCAAGTCCTTCATTGCATCCAAATTGGACACTGTACCGCGGGTAATGACGAAAGGACGCAACCCCCCCCCCCCCCAAAAAAAACAAAAAAAAACCGAGCTTCTAAGATTCTAAGCCTCCGATCCGAAGCCCCTGAAAATCGACAAAAACCCCTAGGCCTAAAGGCAACTCGGCTTTGGGGGGTTACTTTGGAGTTTGGGGTCGCCTCGTGCAGTCTGAAAGTTTGAGGATCCGGGGCTTTAGGGCTTAGGGCTTCGGGTGTAGGGAGTAGGATCTGGAAGGAAAGGCAGCTGTTAGAATGGCCAAGACTTCATTCCAAGTGAGTTTAGGGTGTTGTGTTTGGGGTTTTAGGGTTTAGGGTTTAGGGTTTAGGGTTTAGGGTTTAGGGTTTAGGGTTTAGGGTTTAGGGTTTAGGGTTTAGGGTCTGGGGCTTTTGAGGGTGCATCCCTGGCCAGCCAAGACTCGTAGGCGCTCGGATTGCGGCAGTTCGCAGGCACCTGTCAGGTTGGAGCGTTGTCATGTCGCTGCTTTCCAAGGAGTCAGAGGCTTGTGGGCGTGTCCGAACTTTCTGGTTTAGGGTTTAGGGTTTAGAGTTTAGGGTTTAGGGTTTAGGGTTTGCATGTCCAAGAACACGCTGATGTTCCTTTCCGATTCTTCCACCTTGCCTCAGGCGCGTGCGGAGGGTTCGGGACAGCAAACGAAAGGCACGCACTGTATCAAACATAAACATGTAACATGTTCCAGCACTAGCCAGGGTTGTACCTACGAGAGTCTTGTCAGGTAGTTTTTGCTCACAAATCTTGGGTAGCACCTCTCTCACTGATCCCCAGCAACAATGGTCCTTCCTGGCTGCGATCATCTTGCCGAACCAAGTCAGCTTGTGCTGAAACGGATCGAAACTTGCTTTGCCGCGCCTGCTGTGTTGTCAATGTAGCAGTCTGTGTGGCTGATGTGCGCGTGCTTGTTTTGGTGCATTTCGTGCTTCGTGCCAGGCGTCAAAAACTCCACATCTTGCTCAACGGCCCTGACTGGCGATACGCCGCCAAACACGTGTTGCTGATGGACACGTAGCACTCAACAATGTGCACCATGACTTCATGGTCCAGATCCCTCTAGTCCACGAATTGCTTTTTAAGAACCCCGAAAAACATTATTCCTTGTTAAGGGCAATATAGGGATTATGATTTTTCATTCTTTTGGGGCTCTTAAGCAGATAGTAGTTGTGCAGGGTCAGGATAGTGTCCTGCATGCTGTACTTGCCATCTCACAAAACTGACTGTCCACGGATTCTTGTGACCTTGGGGAGTGGGGCTCCAGTAGTAGGGTTTAGGGTTTAGGGTTTAGGGTTTAGGGTTTAGGGTTTAGGGTTTAGGGTTTAGGGTTTAGGGCAATTGCCCAGCATGTATAGTTATACCACGTGCAACCTGCGGAACACCCCGAATTTAAGGGCCTGAATCTCATCATGAACCCCGCAATATTGCGATACCGGTGTGGTTTAGGGTTTTTTGGGGTTGAGGGTTTAGAGTTTAGGGTTGAGCCTGAACCATCCTGTTTAGGGTTTAGGGTTTAGGGTTTAGGGTTTAGGGTTTAGGGCTTCTGGTGCTCTTTGCGATCCTGGGACCCGCTTCGCATCATTTGTGCTTACTGATGCCGCCTGTCAATGGCTTGCATCATGCAATAGCTTGAGTCAGCAACGGCATTCCTGTTTTGCAATAGCGTGATGCACAGCCTGTCTTGTTGAACACCTGCAGCTCAGGAACAGGAATGCTGCCTGTATGCCATGTTGCGACTCGTGCTACTGGGGCCGGGACCCAGCAAATCTCTGCCAATGCTTCTGTACAAACACATTCTACAAGAGAATGCCGGTCAAAGTGTCTTATGCAGTTCACGGAACCATGGGCCGCCAAGAGCCTCAGCATCCGTGAATCATAACCTGGTCCCGGCTGACGAGGGCAGCCTCTTCGATCAGGAATTTGGCCACCTCCTTCCGGATATCACCCTGCAACTGCACAACAAGGCCGTGCTCACCACCATCAACGAGCGACCCGTTAGTGTTGAAGGTCTTCTTCAGCGACCTCAAGATCTTTTTGAAGTCGACTTGGGTGACTTTGTCACACTTGGGGTCGCGCACTTCTGTCGGCAAACCAGCAACAGTTGTCCAGGATTTCTTGCCATTTCGCTGCTGCATCCGGACGTGGACCTTGGTTAAGTTGTCGTCATCCATACCTGCCAACGTAAGTTCCAACGCCTCCATGGCGTGGTGGAAGGGGGCTGCGACAAGCACAAGACACGCTGACAGCCACAATGGCTAGGTGTTCCTCGAGCTCGGGGCCCAGATAGATCTGGGGACAGAACCCCACAACTGGGGAGTTTTCAGCTAAAGCAACTCCAGGTTCCTATTCTGAGGCACGTCCGACCCGGACTTTGCACCTTACGAAAGAAAGACGAAGAAATCCTAAACCCTAAGCCCTAAACCCTAAACCCTAGAACCTAGACCCTAAACCCTCCAACCGACCCGAGGCTCGATGACTATCGAATGTGACCGCCGAATTTTGGGGGTTTGCCGGTCCATGAGTGTTCAGGGCCAGGGTGAACTGCTTCCTTTCTGGCATGATGGTTCCTTACTGGGAATTTAATATGACAAAGATATAGAATTGCAACCGACAAGGACCCCCTACAATTGGGGTCATATACCCCTTACTACTATAAATCCTATTGACGTACATGTCACATAAACCCTTTTAGGGTTCATTTGGTCCCAAAGGAAGGGGAAGGTTGAGGGATTGGAATGAAACGTCAAACTTTGGGCGCCCTGAAAGCGGCAGACCACACACGGCAGAGGAAAAGCCTCACTGAGGATCTGCGCCTGCAGCGTTTAGGGTTTCGGGTTTAGGGTTTAGGGTTTAGGCTTTGCTTGTGTTTCACATCGGCCCCTCTAATTAGAGCCCCTGTGGCAGCAGCTAAACGAAAGTTTGCATTGTAGTCTTCTCTTGCATGTGACTGCACCGTTGACATGTCAATGATACTGATTTAAAGATAGGTAATGGAGGGGTCGGAATAGTTACTTAAATAGTATTCCCTTGTTGTCCCTGTAGAATTTACTATAATCACCCCCCCAAACCCTATTCTAATTATTGCGGCCCCCAGGTTATACATGATGCAGCTTCGTTGTGTCACTTTCTGGAGATACCTGGGGCAAATCCGGGCGCCTGCAGTTCCGGCGGCAGGGCGTTGAACTTCTGAGAGCACCTGCGCGTCTTTCAGTTTGAACTTTTGGATAGATGTTGGGGGGGATCGGTGGCTTTGGGGCTCGTAGCAACATGGTAGGTCGCGGGTGAGGGATCAGAGCAGAATGCTGATATTCTGAACCTTGCGCCCTAGGCCTCACACATTCCCACAGCGAAACGTCCCATCTCCCCACACGTTAGGTTCAAACGAGGTCTCATCCCAACCAGACTGCGATGACAAGCAAGGTAGCTACACCAGGAGACCCTTTCAAGCAAACCGATGCCGCCTCTCCTACTCGACTCCTGCTGGCGACTCAAACACGCTTCAAAATGCAGTGGGCATAGCACTTTGGCGTTCCTCATCTTTCGGGCTGGTTCAGTTACAAGACTAGTTCTGGGCTTGAAGTTATACCTGCTGCTTAGTTGCCTCACCGCTTTCGGTCGCGTCGCTTTCGAGGTCACACAGCTTCATGCCCAGCTTTGGCACAGCTTTAGCTTAAGCCGGCAAGCAGAGGATAGCGAGGTGCATTCGATGGGCTTGGCTCACGCCAAGATGAGGTCGGCCCACATCTGACATCTGATCTTCATTTCTTGATTCCTCCCGTGCCAGCTTGTTTGCCCAGGAAAAGTACCCAAAAGCAGCCTATATAAATGCTCAAGCCTAAGCTCGCCAAAGGAGAAGTGGCAGAGGGCTTATGCCTGATGATGAGAGCCACATGGAGGGAGGAGCGTGATGGCAAGATGCGCGGTCATGCGCGGTCTCACAAATAGAGAAGCGCTCTGATGCCCTCTGCATGCAAGGTCCAACCGCCCCTATAGCTTGAACGGCCTACAAGCTAAAGCCGCGAAGCCGAAAGCCCCAAGCTCCCCTAAAGCTCTAACAAGCAAAACCCTAAACCCTGAACCCTAAACCCTAAACCCTAAACGCCATGCTCTCCCCGAACAACTCGGCCTCTCGTCAAGCTCAACAGGCGGAGGGGGTCCAAGAGAAGCAACAGCCTCGGAAGGGGCCCCCCAAGAGGCCCCACGCCCGAAACCCTGGACCCTTCAACCCACCCTTTTCTGGGGCGTCAATACTCTGTCAGGGTTTAGGGCTCAGGGTTTAGGGCTTTGGGCGGCTTTAGGGTGGTTTCGGGCCTTTGTGGGCGAGGACTAAAGGCCCAGAACCCTAAACCCTAAACCTCAAAAAGCCCTAAGCCGGGAATGTCACAGGGATCCGGCGGGGGACATCGTCGGCATCGGCTCGGCGATATTCCTGTACTGCTTCACCTGCTGCTTCGAGATTCCAAGGGCTTAGGAGGGTTTAGGGTTTAGGGTTTAGGGTTTAGGGTTTAGGGTTTAGGGTTTAGGGTTTAGGGTTTAGGGTTTAGGGTTTAGGGTTTAGGGTTTAGGGTTTAGGGTTTAGGGTTTAGGGTTTAGGGTTTAGGGGTAGTTTCATGGTCCCTGAGTCTGGGCCATTAAAAAGGGACCCCTTATGTATCTCTTATATACCCTACCCAAGCCAAGGGTCCATACTTCAGAACCCTTTGAAGGAGGTAAGGGACCATGTTCAAGGGCCCATGTAGCCTAAACCCTAAACCCTAAACCCTAAACCCTAAACCCTAAACCCCAAACCCTAAACCCCCCCATGTAGCTACCCTTCGAGTGATGCATCCGGCTTGTGACTAAGCATTCGCCGGGTTAAGGATTTGGGCCAACGCTTTGCAAGGTCCAGGGCCTGACTTCCTGAATAGGGGGTTTAGGGTTTAGGGTTTTGCAGGAGGGCAAGAACCCAACACCAGGCACATTCACGCCAACAAAGCCCAACAAACCAACAAGCATATGGGCTGTCTTCTACTGTTTGACGGGAAACATCTACTTGCTTAAGAACCACAAAAGTAAAATAAGTTAATCCCTATATTGCCCTTATTATAAGGAAGACTTGTTTCTCTTTTTTTGGGGGGCTCTTAAGCAACTCGTAGAAGATCAACTCATGGAATTGAAATCACCGAGCTCACCTCCCCCCTAAGAAAGGTGGGCAACACGCACAAGCCCTTAAACCGTCCTAGGCCCAGAAGTAGCGCAACAGCCCTAAACCCTAAAACTAATCCCTACACCCAAAACCTCAATCCTGAAACTAAGCGTTAAACGCCCTAAACCGTGAACCTTGAACCTAGACCCGAAAACCTAGCAAGAACACCCCACAGCCGCACCAGTGGATATGAGGGAAGGGGAACTGGCCGCACCCTGATCACGCACACCTACTTGAGCCCAAAACCGAAGTTCCAGCATCGGCCTTGGACCACACGTTGGCGCTCGGATTGCGACAGTTCGCGGGTACCTTCACAGGGCAGTGGGCAAAGTCCCTCAATCCCTGCACTTGGCGATTTCGAGTGTGGAATGTTGGGTAAACCCATAAGCTCACCTCTAAAGGCGTTGAGAAATGAGGCTGCCTTGGATAAGCCATAAGCAGCCAAAGAGGAGCAGGAAAAACCGCTGCAGTGGACGATTTGCGGGAGGGGAACACATGTTGCTGCTGTTTTTCAAGCTCGGTCCGATGGAAAACTGCAAGGTTAGGGTTTAGGGCAGCACGCCCAGATTGCCTGTTTCATGCGCGGTGGAAGGGCAGGTCTTAGTATTCAGTGTTTCATGGGGTTTGGTGCGTTTACTTTGATGAAGTCAAGGAAGACGTTTTTGCGGTGTAGCTGGATTTATGGGATGGTTCAATCTACAAACTGTTGCAACTGAAGCTCCGGACCCTAGTGTTTCTGCAACGGTAAGTGTTGCTTGAAAAAGGTGATCCTGAACTTCGATGAAACAAGGGTTTAGGGTTTAGGGTTTAGGGTTTCGGGTTTACGGTTTGGGGTTTAGGGTTTCACGGGTCCCGTGGACTGCTGTGGCTTCCATACTGCAGTTTGCAGATGCTTACAGACTCCATCATTGCCACCCCTGCTTCTGCTGCAGAAGCCTAAGCCCTAAACCCTAAAATCCTCCAAATGGCCTTCCGAACTCAAAGTGCCCTGCTTAGGCCCTCCTTAGGGCCTCAAGGCCCAAACCCTAAACCCTGTAAACCTTATGAACCTTTTAAACCTGAGAAACCTTATAAACCTTATCATCCTTACAAACCTTATAAACCTTATAAACCCTATAAACCCTATAAACCCTAAACCCTATAAACACTAAACCCTATAAACACTAAACCCTATAAACCCTAAACCCTAAACCCTAAACCCTAAACCCTAAACCCTAAACCCTAAACCCTAAACCAACCCAGAAAAGGGTGCCCTTATTGTAGCTGTAGTATGGTTCGGGGCTACTAAGACTCCGGATCTCCGACAGTCCATCTCCCGATCATCCCAAAGCCCCTCAAGAAGCGCCCCCTAAACCCTAAACCCTAAACCCTAAACCCTAAACCCGAAACCCTAAACCCTAAACCCTAAACCCTAAACCCTAAACCCTAAACCCTAAACCCTAAACCCGGCCTCCCTCAGGATTTGCTCCTGCAGCTCAGGCGGTAGCCTGCTCAGCTCCGCAGAAGCCCTTGGCATGGCAGGATTCAGGGCTTCGGCTCGGGTTTAGGGTTTAGGGTTTAGGGTTTAGGGTTTAGGGTTTAGGATTTAGGGTTTAGGGTTTAGGGTTTAGGGTTGAGGGTTTAGGGTTGAGGGTTGAAGGTTTAGGGTTTAGGGAGTTTAGGGTTTAGGGGTTTAGGGTTTCGGGTTTAAAAGCCTGGGCATCTGCAGGAGCAGTGGCAGATGTCGGAGTTGCAGGATAATCCCGGTTTACGGCTTGAAGCCTCAGGCGTATGTACGAACCCTGTAAGTATGTACAAACCTGAACCTAAAACCCCGCAGCAGGCCCTCCAAGCCCAACGCCGTCTTTGGTTGATTCCCTAAACCCTAAACCCTAAACCCTAAACCCGAAACCCCAAACCCTTAAACCCTAAACCCTAATCCCAAAATCCACCCTACTGTTTCAGAATTGGGCCATTTGACTTCCCAAGCCTTCCGCCTCATGACGCCCAAAGCCCTCAACCCAGGACAGGACCCTGCCGAGGGGTTCAGGGTTTAGGGTTTGGGGTTTTGGCCAGATCTTCCAGATGAAGCCTACAAGCCTACTCCTCACAATTTCTTTCGAACATCTCCATGAAACAAAGCTCCTTCACGAAGGCACTGCGGGAATCGTGGAGGAACAGCTGCCTCCAAAGTCTAACGGGGCCCGCAAGACCTCCTGAGACCCCGAAGCACTAAACTCACCGAGTCAATAACCTTTCAGCCCTCAAACCATGAAGACTAGAAGCCCGCCCCGAATCCCTTCCCCGCGCTGGTGCACGCACCTCTCGTCCAGGCCTAAATTCGTCATCGGCGGTGGATCCTCGACCACCTGCCCAAGACTAACCGGTCGGTCCCCTCTGGATTTGGGGACCCTAAACCCTAAACCCTAAACCCTAAACCCTAAACCCTAAACCCTAAACCCTAAACCCTAAACCCTAAACCCCAAACCCAAACGCTAAACCCTGTGGTGACTCTAAGGACGCGTTTTAAGGCGTGGTCTGGGTTCCTGACTTCGCCTCTGCCACTGTGTTTTGCAAGGCAGAGGCTGAATCAAGTGTCGAGACTTAGGGCCTGCATGGTTTCAACCCTAAACCCCAAACCCTAAGCCCTAAACGGCTTCTGGCGTCGGAGTTCAGGACTTGGCATCTACTGATCACCTCTCACACAAAACAGTTCCTGGTTGCTGAGTTCACAAGCCCCCCAAAAGTGTGCACTTTCGGCTCGATAGGGGATTCTAGTATCCCAAAAAGTGTAAAGTGTACTCATCCAGCTACCAAGAGTTAGCCATTTGGAGTCTAGGGCTTGGGACACAGGCCGAGGTTCTTCGGCTCTGAATTTTGGACTAGGCCCGTGGGCTTGCTCATGAATTTAGGTGTCCGATGCTTGGGTTTAGGGTTTAGGGTTTAGGGTTTAGGGTTTAGGGTTTAGGGTTTAGGGTTTAGGGTTTAGGGTTTAGGGTTTAGGGTTTAGGGTTTAGGGTTTAGGGTTTAGGGCTTAGGGCTTAGGGCTTAGGGCTTAGGGCTTAGGGTTTAGGGTTTAGGGTTGCAGGGCTGAGGCAGCCGTTGTATCTTGCAGTTTGGGCGTGTTTGCTGCCACCGCCGTTGTGGTCGTGGTTGTGGTCGCGTCCGTGTTGTTGTCGATGTCGTTGTCTTTGTCTCGGTTGTCCTGTTGTTGATATCCTGGCCCGTACTGTAAGTCCTATCGCCTAAGACCAAATCCTCCACACTCAGAGCCTGACCCCCTACCACAAGTCCCTAAACCCTAAACCCTAAACCCTAAACCCTAAACCCTAAACCCTAAACCCTAAACCCTAAACCCTAAACCCTAAACCCTAAACCCTAAACCTCAAACCCTAAACCCTAACCCTAAACCCTAAACCCCCCAGCAGAATCCCAAGCCTGTGGCCTGTAGGCGCGGACGATGTCCTGCTTTCTTCGGCTCATCCAAGGAGGCAGGGCTTGGGCTTCGGGCTTAGGGCCTTAGGGGTCGGGGTTTAGGGCTGTTTAGGGTTTAGGGTTTAGGGTTTTGGGTTTTGGGTTTAGGGTTTAGGGTTTTGGGTTTAGGGTTTGGGGATTGAAGTTTGGGTTATAGGAACTAGGAACCTGGGGTTCTCAGGGGGTGAGGACTCAAAGCTTCGGGCATGTTTCGAATGCGTCGAACGGCTTAGAAGTTCGAGCTAGGTCTTTAAGGTTCTGCCTCCATGTATGTATACCTAGTGCACATCCCAGGCCACTGCAGCCATCAGAGGCAAAGGTCTCCAAGCAAGCTGTAATGGAAGGATCGCCGGGCCTCTAACACAAAGGCCACCCCCCCCCCAACTTGGCCCAAACCCCGAACCCTAAACTCCAAAAGCCCTAAACTCTAGCAACTGTAAACTCGGAATCAACACCACAACTTCAGCAGAGGTACGTGAAAACCAGGAAGCCCTTCAAGCTGGGACCCAAATCCCCTCAGCTCCGAGATCCCCGGGCCTGAACCTGAGACTCTTCACCGGCATCCTTCATTCCGAAGCTGCCGTCAGAGTCTCTGATCCTGTTTGGGGTTTAGGGTTTAGGGTTTAGGGTTTAGGGTTCAGGGTTCAGGGTTTAGGGTTTAGGGTTTAGGGTTTAGGGTTTAGGGTTTAGGGTTTAGGGTTTAGGGTTTAGGGTTTAGAATTTAGGGTTTAGGGGCTGCTGTGCGCATGTGAGTTTGGGCCCACCGGACTGCAGGTCCTGATTTCTGATCACCCCTGTCTTGAAGTCTTGGGGGCCCTAAACCCTAAACCCTAAACCCTAAACCCTAAACCCTAAACCCTAAACCCTAAACCCTAAACCCTAAACCCTAAACCCTAAACCCTAAACCCTAAACCCTAAACCCTAAACCCTAAACCCTAAACCCTGAACCCTGAACCCTGAACCCTGAACCCTAAACCCTAAACCCTAAACCCTAACATCGAGGTCTTTGGTGCTCTCCTGGACCAGATCACGGCGCTGACGTTCCGGATCTTGCTGAGGTCCACCTGGGCGAACCCGCGCTGAGGGCAAACAGCGTTTAGGGTTTAGGGTTTAGGGTTTAGGGTTTAGGGTTTAGGGTTTAGGGTTTAGGGTTTAGGGCAAAAGGCTGACTCTGACAGCCTTGTGCATGCCCTGCATGGTAGAGGATGATACAGCTGTCTTGGGGGGTTATTTAAGTGCTTAGGGCCCTACATCCGAAACCGGAAACCCCAAAGGCCTCTAAACCTTCGACTGCCCCCCCTCCCCCCCACCCCCCCCCCCGAACCCTAAACCCTAAACCCTAAACCGAACTGTGAAGGGAGTCGAAACCTGGGCCCCTCCGCTGAGGACAAGATCTCCATCTTCAGCTCCGGAGCGACATTGGTCCACGCCGCCCTGGCCTGCGATGGAGAGGCTGCGGGTTTAGGGTTTATGGTTTAAGGTTTAGGGTTTAGGGTTTAGGGTTTGGGGTTTGGGGTTTGGGGTTTGGGGTTTAGGGTTTAGGGCTTATTGGGTTTATAGGGTTTAGGGTTTAAGTCATATTATTGGGTTGAATGTTGTGCCCGCAAACAGCATGATCCGAGGATGAGTGGGCCCACGTCCCCGTTCCAGGTCTCGTTTTGGGTTGCAGCCACGGATCTGCACGTACTGAAAGCTGGTGTCTGCTTCTGGGCATGTTTCTGGAGCTCCGAAATCATCCACGAAGTGCAACGCTGGTGTGAGAAGAAGACAGCGGCTGGCCCAGGCCATCCAATCCGCCACACGGCAGTAGCCCCAGACGCTGGCAACCGACCCAAACATTAAGACTCGATGTCGCCAAAGTGTCGGGCCCCGCGGCGTCTGCAGCACCACGTAGGTATCGGCTGGTCGAAGCACAGGAAGTTGACGATACGCCGACTCATGGTCGAGTCCCCACGTTGCTATGGCGCCTTCTTCTCCCAGGTGTCGAAGCGCTCGTATGACAGCAATGAAGGCTTCAATGCTATGGTACGCGGGTGTGTCTGGCACGTTGACGGTTTTGTTGCCCCCGGAACGGCGCCAATCCTCTGCTCGCCGGACTTTGCGTCGCCCATCGGACCCTACCTGTTGCACGGAGAAAGCGAAGCATGTGTGTTCGTGGCAAGACGGCGCCGGGAGAAGCTCAGCGGTGTGAGTATAGTCAGGCAACGCCACTGTCTCCTTGCTCCACGAGGAAGGCACCGCGAAAGGACCTTCCATCCTGCCTGCTTTGACATCTGCTGCAATCTCCTCAGCCATGGTTTGCCAGAATGGATCTACCCTGGCCTGCTTGAGCTTCTTCTGCACATACTGGAAATTGTCTGCTTGGAACGTTTCGAGGTCAACCGGGTCGCTGTACCGCTCATCGTGGCGAAGGCGCCATCCCAGACCGGGATTGATGTGACCAAGGAGAGGAAACCCACTGCTCATCTCTTGGAACAGAGAATCATCCTGCCAACCGAACATCTTGGCAATCTTGGCTATCACGGGGACTTTGACTGTGCACGTTCCTGTTTTCGAGCCATAGGCCAATTTAACATGCGGCTCCAAATTTTGGAACCACGCATCCACCTCGGGCTGCATCTCCTCCACTAACGTGCGCACGTCAGCCGCAACGCCCTTCCTAATCTCCGCCAGGTAGGGCTTCCAGTGCTTCCATAAAGGCAGCCACTGATCCAGGCCTGGTTCTAGAAGAGGTCGCGTCTGATCTGAGTGCAAAGCGAACTCCGCCGCCGCCCAATGCAGACAAACATGACCAGCAGACCACGGGACCAGCAGACCATGGGACCAGAGGACCAGCAACAACGGGAGCCGCGGGACCAACAGACCGGAGGACCAGTAGACCAGGGCACCAGCGGGGCCGGGGAAGCAGCAGACCAGGGGAAAAACCAGTACCACCAGACCTACCGAAAAAAAATAGGCTCTGCTTATTGAAAGAGGGCACAACATGGGGGCTTCACCTCTGAAGGCCAGGGCAGCATGGTATGCACGTTTTTTGCTGTTCTTTTGGGCGTGGGTCGGGTCATGCCTTCAGACTGACACCGAAATCAGCAAAGGCCAAGACTTCTAGCTGGGTGGTTGTCACAATTGTGATCCCTTTGGGGTGCCCTAAATATTAGGTGCCGCTTTGTAATAGGGATCAAGAAAGGGACCATAATTTTGACAACCACCCAGCTGCACTGAGGTGCGTGGAACATCACAGGTGGGTGCGCTGCCTCTTGGTCCAAGGAGCGCTCAATGAACTCCTGCTTGGCCTGTAGGGTTTAGGGTTTAGGGTTTAGGGTTTAGGGTTTAGGGTTTAGGGTTTAGGGTTTAGGGTTTAGGGTTTAGGGTTTAGGGTTTAGGGTTTAGGGTTTAGGGTTTAGGGTTTAGGGTTTAGGGCCAAAGGCTGGCTTTGGGGGGAGTTCAGGGTGGGACCTCCTTCCGCAAAATCTAGAGGCTCCGAAGCAGATCCGAGATTGCCTGAAACGCCAAACCCAATGATTCGAGTTCCTCCAGTGTTCAAGCTCTGGGGTTTAGGGTTTAGGATTTAGGGTTTAGGGTTTAGGGCTTAGGTACATGTTCCCACGCCTCGGCCCGCGCTTCGCGTAACCTCTTCACCATGGACCACATCACGGCCGAGGGGTTGCGCGCGGCCTTCGGGAATACAGGAGCTTCTGGTTTAGGGTTTAGGGTTTAGGGTTTAGGGTTTAGGGTTTCAGGGTTTCGGGGTGGCTGATTCTTGGGGTGAGGCGGCAGATTTCGCAGAGGTGTTGTGGCTGGGACTTCGGGGTTCGGACTCTGCTGTCAGGCTGGAAGTCAGTTGTTTGGGTCTGGGGCGGGATGTGCACCTAAACCCTAAACCCTAAACCCTAAACCCTAAACCCTAAACCCTAAACCCTAAACCCTAAACCCTAAACCCTAAACCCTAAACCCTAAACCCTAAACCCTACCCCCTAAACCCTAAACCCTACACCCTAAACCGTGCTAACACGCCATCGGTGTCTATGAGGGGTGAGCCTTTCGTGAAGCTGGAGCGTGGAGTTCAGGGTTGGGAGTGTCGAACCTGGAGCCTTGTGCACTCCAGGGTTTAGGGTTTAGGGTTTAGGGTTTAGGGTTTAGGGTTTAGGGTTTAGGGTTTAGGCTTAGGGTTTAGGGTTTAGGGTTTAGGGTTTAGGGTTTAGGGTTTAGGGTTTAGGTCCTGTCATAGTGCCAGCCCCGTCCAAACGGAGTGCAAAGTTGCAGAAACCCTCCGTCAGACCTCAAAATAAACCGGCCGCCGCAAACTTAAGCTTATGCTAGCCCTGCAGGCTCTAACCCTAAACCCTAAACCCTAAACCCTAAACCCTAGACCCTAGACCCTAGACCCTAAACCCTAAACCCTAAAGCCTAAACCCCAAACCCCAAACCCTAAACCCTAAACCCGAAACCCGAAACCCTCGAAATTCCTGAACGGCCACCTGGAGGTCCACCAGTCCGATGGCGATTCTCTGAGCTTCGCCGTCCAGTGCGGCCAGGGCCTGGCAAGAGAACGAGTTCAAGTATGGGTTTAGGGTTTGGGGTTTACTATACTGAACTTGGAACCCCAGCAAAAATTATAGTTTTTGCTGTTTCTTAGGAATAAGGGTACCCAGAAATTAAAAAATATTTCCAAGTACCCCTAAGTTTAGGGTTGGTCTGGGGTTTGGGGTTTATAGGGTTGGCATTTTTTGTGTAGTTTTGGGGCTAGTCTCGGGGCTACTCCCAAACCAGACGGAGGTGTGGAGGAGCCAAGGACCAGCAAAGGAAAATAGCTTTCGCACATGCCATGAACGGGCAACTTCGATTATGCGAATGGGCAAGGTCGTTAAGTAGGCTTTGGGGCTCGCTTTCATTTCAGATGCCTACCACCCGCTTCACTCCATTCAAAGTCTCCACGCTGCGCCTGCTGCACCTTACCGTCCAGGTTCATGGATGCCGCAAACGCTGCTGCATCTGGCGTGAGGCCTTGACCCAGGGTTGTTGGCTTCAACGGGTGGGCAGGTAAGCCCCAAGTCCAAAATGAGCTTTGGCGGGTCGAAGCGGCAAAACTCTGCAGATTCCTCAACCCCAACAAGGTATCCCTAATTTTGGAACCCCCCACATTGTGACCTCTGAACCCCGAAACTGGTTCATAGTTGGGATAGTAATAAAAATTTAAAATTTTTATTCTTATTGAGTTTAAGTACCCTTAAAAATGTAAAATGTTACCCCACTATGACAAAGGAAAGGAGGGGGGGGGAAGGGGGACCTTCCATCTCAGCGGACCGTGGCTGTTGCCGCGGCAGCTGCTGCGCCTGCATCGCCTTTGGGGGTCATCGGGGCTCGCAGGGCGTGAGGTTGTGGTTTGTTAGGGTTCTTAGGGTTGTTAGGGTTGTTGGGGTTGTTCGGGTTGCTCAGGTTCAGGGTTTAGGGTTTAGGGTCTAGGGTTTAGGGTTTAGGGTTTTGGGTGTTGGGGCCAATTCAAGGTTTGGGATTTCGGGCATTGCCTCCTCAAGTTGCTTGTGGAGCTTCTCAAGAAACCTGTACTTGGAGGTTCATGGTACTTATCAGCCAATTCTAGCTGTAGTTGTAACCATTTTAGGGCACTTAAGGGGCTTATAAGTACGGTTGTATAAACTTGGTTAATAAGTACCATGAACAGCCGCAAGCATGTCCAACCAATGTGTCGCTTGGAGCTTTATCCATTGCACAATCCCTAAGCCCTAAACCCTAAACCCCAAACCCTAAACCCCAAACCCTAAACCCTAAACCCTAAACCCCAAACCCTAAACCCTAGACCCTAAACCCTAAACCCTACCAGGTGCCGAACGGTTCGGGTGGCGAGCTCGGCGTGTATCCGCTGCACTTCGGCCAGGAGGTCTGGGCAGCAAACGCGGCCAGAAACATGGGTTTAGGGTTTAGGGTTTAGGGTTTGGGGTTTGGGGTTTGGGGTTTGGGGTTTGGGGTTTGGGGTTTGGGGTTTGGGGTTTGGGGTTTGGGGTTTGGGGTTTGGGGTTTGGGGTTGTTTAGTTTTCTCTTGGAGATGGGCTTTACCATCCAAGCTTACAGGGCTTCTGCCTAGGGTACATAGCGTATTTAGGGTATATAGTAGGACATCTATATATAATCTATAACGTAGGGTATGTGCTGTTTTACTAAAAAAGCCCCAAACTCCAAAAGTCAGAGACTCCAAAATTCAAATAAATATGGAAAACTGTTTTTTTTTGGGGGTTGACCTTCCTCATTCCAAAATTCGAAACATTTTGGAATTATGGAAGTCTGGGCCCAGAAATTTTGGAATTTGGGAAGGTGTGAAGTTGACCTTCCCCATGCCAAAATTCCAAAACATGTTGTTAATCATTCCAATTCGATCCAAGATTTTCGTTGCTTTCCATAGCACTTTGAATGCTCCTCATCGGTTTTCTATTGGAAATCGTATTAAATTCTACAGAAGTTGATGGAAATCGAAATTTGGCAAGGTTTTCGAGGGTTTTGTCCGGAATTCCTATTCGATCAATGATTTTCGTTGATTTTCATCGGTTTGCAATTGATTTTCTAGCGAAGAATCGCATGAAATCGTACGAAAGTCGATGATCAGCAAAATTGTAGTGGATCTTGGATCTCACGGAATGGACTTGCTCACCGAGTATATGGAGAGTCGGCCAAACCTGGCTAAGAACCCTAGGCCTGCAAGACCCCCACGCCCAGAATCTGAGCCCAAAACCCTCAGTTCCAAGTTCAACAGACCAAGCTTCAGCTGCTACCAGCCATCCACGGAACACATCTCAATCCCTCAAGCCTTCAGGAATTTCGGGATTCGAGACAACTTCTGGCTCGAGGGGGGTTGGGGACCCTGAAGCACCGAATCCTCGAAACATTGGCCGCCCGCCGTGCCTTCGGTGCTACACGCGCTCCTGGGTTCGTGGGGATGAAGGCCCACATGCACCAGTTTAGGGTTGGGTTTAGGGTTTAGGGTTTAGGGTTTAGGGTTTAGGGTTTAGGGTTTAGGGTTTAGGGTTTAGGGTTCAGGGTTCAGGGTTCGGGGTTCGGGGTTCGGGGTTCGGGGTTCGGGGTTCGGGGTTCGGGGTTCGGGGTTCGGGGTTTGGGGTTTGGGGTTTGGGGTTTGGGGTTTGGGGTTTGGGGTTTGGGGTTTGGGGTTTAGGCATCCGAGTTGCATTTGGCCGGTTGGAGGATTCGTCACTAGATTCACACACTGACTCGGCACTCAGGCCATAACCCTCCCATTTGCTCAAACTCCTCAACACTGAGCCCTTCATGCTCACCAGCCCGGGCCAAGCCCCGGCAAAGTCGGGGGATGAAGTTCCCCCAAGTTACTAAGTTCCCTACCTGTTAATCCTCAGCTGGCCTTTCAGGATGGGCTCTTGATGCTCGGGTGAAGCCATCTGCTCAATTCACAATAAATGCTGCAAAGGGACAGGTCGCGTCGGCCAATAAGAGGGCTCCTCCGAGGCTTTGGGGCTTTGGGGCTTTGGGCTTTGGGGCTTTGGGTTTAGGGTTTAGGGCTTAGGGCTTAGGGTTTAGGGTTTAGGGTGTAGGGTTGTGCTTACGAGTGGCTTTGAACAGTGCCCTTGCATAGCCAGAGAATGCATATGAGGCTGCCGTCCCAATACAAGCCGAGAGGGCTTGAGACCGCTGTCTGGCTGATCTGAGTGCACTTGGGTTTCTTTTAACACTAAACCGGAAACTCTAGGGTTTAGGGTTTAGGGTTTAGGGTTTAGGGTTTAGGGTTTAGGGGTTGAGGGGGATCACTAAGCAGCCTAGCTCATGGCCAGAGGCTCTGGCACGTGGCGTATAGATCTGTCACGTAGAACCACCTACAAACCCTTCGACATCTTATACTTGCGCAATATTCAATGTTGTTTTTTAAATCGCGGTAAAAAACACTTACTTATTATTACGCGGACACATACACTTGAATTGAAGCCCGTTCAACTAGTTCAACTGGGAAGAAAGCCTCAGCATGAACCCTGTTGCCACCCTCCCCCTGGCCCCGGCCCTCTAAAGCTCCTAAACCTACCCCTTCTGATGGGAGAGTCGGAATGGGCATGCTAAACCCTATACTCATCCTACATTCATCCGGAAATGCCGCCGACGTCCTTCGGGGCAACTCGGGGCATCATGTGGGGGGTTTCCGAGATTGGGGGGGCTACCTTGTTGGGGTCCTTCTTATCAGGGAATAGTACTGTTGGGGGGGTCTATATTGGGGGGGGGGCCCTTGTTTTCGTATTCCCCCGTATTCATATGGACCCTCAAGTTTTGGGCTTGCTAGCGTGCCAAAAGCGGGTCCTGCTTCGAGCTCTCTGCGTTGGAAACGGCAGGGCCGGCCTGGCTTTTTTGGGTCTTGGGGCAGCCCAGCAACCGCATGGTAGTAGGGGCACCCTGTTTTTGGGGGCTGGTGACTTGTAAACCCTAAACCCTAAACCCTAAACCCTAAGCCCTAAACCCTAAACCCTAAACCCAAAAAAAACAAAAGGGTAGAGGGCAGCACTGGGCTGCCGAGGCCTAGGGCCTAGGGTTTACGGTGTTTCCGGCGGCTGTTGGAGGGCGATCTCCGGGTTCCTTGCTTGTGCAGATGATGAGGGGCAACGGTGGTGGCAACTCCTGCATCCTAAGCCTGCCCCCAAGGCTGAGCCCGCGAGTCTGAAGCCACAACCCCCAGCAGAGGACGTTGTGCATTCAAGGCCGCGTTCGAGAAACCGAGAGGGAGAGAGAGCGAGAGAGAGTGACAGAGAGAGTGAGAGAGTGATGAAACAAAACTACTGAACAACAGAAGCAGCCCCTTCTCACGCGCTATGTAGGCCCGCTGCCTGCCAGAATGCAGCCGGACAACCGGATGCTGCGGATGCGCCTACACGGCAGGTTCGCTCAGCTCAGGGCCTCTTTTTGGGTCTGGGGGCTTTCGCCGCTGTGGCCCTGAGCGTGCGGCTTTGGGCCCTGTTTGGGGGGCTTTTTGTAAGCTTCAGGGCGAGTGCACATGAAGAAGCTCTCCAGCCCGTCGGAGAGGCTTTGAGGGCGCCTGCCAAAATCTCGGGGATGTGATGGAAATCAGGGAGTTGAACCTTTTGGGCTTAGGGTTTGGGGTTTTAGTCCAGTCGCTGTAGGGCAATTGCAAGCCTTGATAATGAAAGTCGAGAACATGTCGCGATTGAATCAAAGGCTCACGCTTGAACAGAAGGCCGTCGAAGCCCTAGGCCCGTGAAATCCCAGCGGTTGAGCCGACGGCTCTCCAGCTCAAGCCCAAAACGCCTAAACTACATACATGGTGGGTGCCGAGCATTCGCACGCATGTCACGAACTGACCTTCTGCGAACAAAGCCCCTCAAGACGCCTGACGTTGCAGCTGTCAACATACTCTGGCGCCACCGGTGTCTGAAGCATGCTTTGGTTTTTCCGAGCTCCCTCCTTCGAGCAGGGGGACGAAAGCAGGCGGTTCGGGCGTAAGGCTCCAAACAGTATCAATCACACACATACACACAGCCAGAAACAGAGACAGAGACACAGAGACACAGAGACAGCCAATCAGCAACAGGCCGACGGTTCAAGATTCAGGGAATTCGACAAGCGAGGTGAGTCCTCAAACTGGTCCGTGCCACCCGAGGGCAAGCAGCAAAACCCTAAACCCTAACCCCTAACCCCTAAACCCTAACCCCTAAACCCTAAACCCTAAACCCTGAACCTCAGCAGGACTGAGAAAACAAGAGGTGGCCTGCCCGGGCATCGACTGAACGCTCCGAACCTGACACGTGCCAAGGGGGCGAAAGTCGGACTTAGGGTTTAGGGTTTTGGGGTTAAGGTTTAGGGTTTAGGGTTTAGGGTTTAGGGGTTAGGGTTTTAGGGTTTAGGGAGCGTGATTTCCCAGGTGCGGCGCCTACAGAGCCTTCAGCCCCCTGGCACGGCCGGCAGGCCGTGTCAGGCATGAAAGTTGGGGGTGTTTGGGGGGGGAACCTTAAGCTCTTTCGAGCTTGGATCGCCCAACTTTGCCCTCTCAAACAGACGATGCCGATACCATTGCTGCTCGAATGTGTTTGCATGGCCAAGCTCAGCATGGCTCACTGCAGATGATACAGATACGCATCGAGTAGTAGGTTTTTGAGAATCGCTTTGTACAGATTGGCGATACAGAAGAGACAGTCAGACAGACCAGCAGGCATCATTTGTTCTTCTTGTGTTGCTGTGCTGTGCTTAAAAGCTGTGTCTGCGCACCCCGCGAACTCGCGGGTCATGAGCCCAACGCTATAGACATGGCAACGGAAAGCGATTCTGATCTCGCAGGGGCCCTCGAAGAGGAGTTCCGTGAAGCGCAGGAGTCGCCGGACAGGACGGGGCACCCGTCACAGGAAGAGGAGGAATCCGAAGTTGATCCTCCTTATGATCGCCCAATCCCCACTGCAGTCGCTAGTGATGGCCGGTTGTTCGGGCTTGGCCCAGGGGCCCTGGATGCGCTGATGGTAGTGTCAGATGATGATCAAACCGCCGCGCGAGTCCAGGTGGAAAGTTCTCCTGATGGTGGGAGTGTGTCGACCAGGCGAGCCAAGACTGATGTTAGGGGGCGAGGACGTGGACCTGGTGGTGATGAGGATGAGTTGATCCCGGACGGGGGAATGCGTTCCAGGCAGACAGAACCACGTGATAGCTCTGATGGTGCTACGACTGGTCAGCCTAGTCAAGTTCAGATCCTAGGCCAGGATATGATTGCCGAGATGTTTGGTCAAATGAGCACGATGATGCAGCAAACAATCCAGTGTCATGTTGTGCCTGCCTTGGACCGAATGATGGTTGAACAGGCGACAATGGCTTCAAGATTGGAAAGACTGGAACAAGAGCCTGGCCGCTCGTCAACTTCGCCTCAGGGCGTTGTTGGTGACGTAGCAAGCCAGATGGAAACGTTGAACCTGTCATCGCAGGACGCGGTGAACTTGGATGCTCAGTCCAGAAACTCTGGTGGAGACAAGGTGGACATTGTCAAACCGACGATACACCGGATGGGAGACGCTAGCGCGGCCGAAGGCAGCAGACGGGCTGAGAGGGGGCAGGTGGTGGATCCGAGTACATCTAATCTGCCAGCCGTTCAGCCAGTGCCCGAAGGCCCTGCCATTGCTCCACAAGTCTTGGCTGGGGGGTTTGCGGAGGTTGGGGGAGTTCGATATGCCTGGCGTGTTACGCAAGAAGGATTACAGCTAGTCCCACTTGAGCAGAGAGGGGAGACGGAGACGAGGGGGAGAGGGAACGAGAGAGTCAGTGTGTTTGACCCTAGAGCTCTGTCACCTTTCCAGGCCACTAGCCCAGAGATCGAGTCGAGAACGCGTAACGTCGCTAAGGCCACTCCTCGTAGCCGTAGTAGTCCGAAACGGGCGCAGTCTTCGGGTTCTCCGGGTCAGTCAGGTACTCAGCGTCGCGATTTCAAGCCAGGTTCTGGTCCTCAGTCAGGTTCCGCGTTTGCTCGAAGTTCGCCATCGAGAGTCGCATCGGCTAAGATTGTCTATCCATGCTCACCTGGAGGAACAGAGATTAGGCCTCCGCCGCCAGCTCCCACGACCGTGCCTGCTGTGGGGTGTAGTCCGTCCTTCATAGCCACTGGGGGAGATTGGGGTAACCTGGGGTGGGCTACTACTAGCTCCCAACCACCTCCCATTCCTGAAGCTTTCAAGTCCTTGAGCGGCAAAGAGCATCCAGGGAGTAAGGGAGTTCCTGAAGAGCCAACCCGAGTATCTCTTGAGCTTCCGAAATTGGGCGCGTATGACCCATCCACTTCAGCTATAGTTGCCGGAGACTGGTTGGTGTCCCTGGTGCCCACTATGACATGTCTGTCGGCCACGGCTACTGAGTTTTGGGATGACGTCATGGATACCGCACGCGAGTATTACAGCCGATGGCTAAACTCATCCCCGCTAGAGCGCTTGCATCTTCAAGTGGATAGCCTCGCTACTCGATATCGGGGTGGAAAGTACTCAAGAGTAGACCAACGCGCGGTGACTATGCTGATGTCGGCTGTGGGTTCAGAGCTAAAGGACGACATCATTTCTCTTAGATTGATGGGGTCCTGTGCTATAATCTTCAAGGTGATGTGCAAGTTCCAGCCTGGGGGCACCTCAGAAAAACAACAGCTCCTTTCGTACTTGGTAGGCCCTGATCAGGTTACTACAAGTGCAGGGGCAGTGAAGGCGCTCCGTAAGTGGAGGCGTTGGTTGGCTAGAGCCCTTGAGCTCAAGCTTTCCGTACCAGACCCTAGCCTTCAGGTCCGAGGGTTGGATTTGTTGGCTCCCCCACTATCCTCCACCGCAGCTTTCAGGATTCAGACCTTCCGAACTCAGGCGTTGCTGGATCAGTCGCCGTCCCAAGAAAAGGTGTATCAATATTCTGAGCTGTTATTGGCGGAAGCAGAAGAAGCGGTGCTTTCTACTGGGACAGACAAGGGTAAGCGCCAAACTGTAGCTAGGGCCGATGAACAGAAAGGAAAAGGGGGTACCAAGGACGGCAAGGGTGGGGCCAAGGGTGTGGGCAGTGGAGAAACCCCTGCGTGCAGACTCTGGAAAACGGATGATGGCTGCCGCTACGGTAAGGCGTGCAGGTTTGTGCACTCAGCTCTGACGCCCTCTGACAGAGGATGCTTTGTTTGTTCGAGTGTCAACCATCGAAAGGCCGAATGCCCGCATGCCAAACATCAGCCACAAGGTGCGGGTGAGCCATCGAAGGAGGGAGCTAAGGAAGCTGCTAGAAAGGGTCAAGGGGGCGGGGGTAAGGGCGGAGCGAGTAGTTCCACTGCCGACGTTGGCAAAACGAGCCGTGATGACCTGTTGGCCAAGGCCAACGCAGTCCTTGATACCATACAGTCATCCATCAAGATGATAGAAGATAAGAGCCCTTATCCTTCTAGGCCTGGTGAGGGAGAAGAGACTGGCCTCATTGATTCGGGCGCTACCACCTCCATGCGGCAGAGACGTGAGGGAGAAAGAGCTGTAGGCAGCAGGATGGTTAGTTTGGCCCAGGGTGAAATTGAGCTTGGAGTGAGCGCAGGCGGGGTTCTTCTGGCAGAGGACAGCATTGAACCGATAGTGTCCTTGAGACAGCTTGTAGCTCTAGGGTTCAGGCTAGTTTGGACGAAGCGGTCTTGTACGCTGCACGATGAGCAAGGTATCATTGTTCCAGTGTCTGTGCGGAGTGGATGCCCAAGGGTTACCCGTCAACTCGCCTTGAAGCTGATTGACAGAGTTGAGATTGCTCGTGTCCAGGGTCTGAATACAGAGCGAGTCCAAAAGCTTGGGGTACATGACAAGGTCTGGCAAGGGGCAGCAAGTCGGTTGAAGGTCGGGATTGAGGGACGAGACAAAGAGGGTGCGTGTGTGTGTGGCACCGTGTGCTGTGTTCTTCCTTGTTCCCTGAAGCTCCCCGTGAATTGCTGGATGAGGTGTCGAGGCTCACGAGTGGAGCTCAACCTCCTAGAGCCTTCAATCGTGGGAAGCGTCGTTCCATCGAGATGGCCAAGGGAGTGATACTTCACTTATGCTGTGGCTCTTCACGAAGAGCATTTGATGAGGTTGCAGCCAAGCATGGGATGGTTGTCCTTGCAGTAGACAGCCAAGAAGACCTGAACGACCCCTCGACGTATTCGTACATTTTAAGCCTTGCTGCCCGAGGGAAGCTGAAGGCAGTCCTGTCAGGGTTTCCGTGTCGAACTCGATCGGCATTGAGGGGGCGGGGTGAGGGTCCACCAGTCGTTCGGGATCGTGATGGCCCTGGGCGGTGGGGTAAGGCTGGGATCTCCGCGCGCGAGGAGGCGAAGGTTTGGGAGGATGATCAGCTCATGATTCGTACATTCATGCTTGGGGTAGTGGCCAAATGGGGTCTTTCCACGCTTGATTCCGAGGAGGAGCGGTGTTTCAACTTTATACTTGAGAACCCCCAAGACCCCAAAGAAGTGTTTGGTGAGTGTCACGCCTCGTATCCCACGCTATGGACCACTGCTGAGTTTGAAACTCTTCGAAGGCTCTTAGGCCTGAGCCTCATCACCCTAGATCAGGGTCCGTTGGGACACGTGTGCCGTAAGCCAACGACCGTCGCATGCGTGTCTGGGTACTGGCCCAGCTGGGCTATGGATCTAAAGGGGCCGGGATGGGCTAGTGATGAGCAAGAACGTGGCTCTAGCGAAGAGTGGGCAAAATGGTCGCATGGGCTTTGTCAAGCTATCCGTCAGTCGTTGGACAACTCATGTAGTAGAAGGGCGGTGTGTGTTCGGGAAGTGGAGGAGCTTCGACGGTTGCGCATTGACCAATCTATGCGGGATCACGTCTTGGCAGGTCACATCCCATATCGCCGGGACTGCTATGCATGTGTGGCAGGTAGAATACGCCGACCATCGCATTTTAGGAGCCAAGTGTCAGAGAGCTTCACACTATCCCTTGATTTGGCTGGTCCGTTCAAGGAGGGGATGAGTGAGGGGTGTAGGGCCAGATACTTCTTGGCAGCCGTGTTCTCTGTCCCAAGGTCTCCTGAGCTCAACGGGTTCCTAGGAGCTGAGCCTTTTGAAGATCCGGAGGAAGTTCCAGGTGCAGGGGTTGGGGACCTGCCACAAGAGGGTCCTTGGGAGGTGGAAGAGTCCGAGGAGGAGGCTGTAGAAGTTCAAGAGCAGGATCAGGCTCCGGAGGAGGAAGAACCTCAGCCCATGAAAAAGTTAGAGCTTGTCCACTTGCCGTTTGTGGCAATGCTCCGCACAAAGGGGGCTCGGGAGGTCCTTGATGCCGTGAAGGGGATTGAGGCTAGATTGGTGGCGATGGGGTGTAATGTTGCACGCCTGCACACTGATGCCGGGGGAGAATTTTGCAACAAGCTGATGCGGGAGTGGACACGCACTAGAGGGATCCACAAGACCAACACGGGGGGGGACCGGTTTCGGGCTAACCCATTCGCTGAGAACCTAATTGGGATCTTGAAAGGCCAGGCGCGGACGCTGATGCACCACATGGATACCCCAATTCCAGATTGGCCCTACGCCCTTCGGCACGCGTGTGCTGCGCGGTTTCGCGTTGAGGCCTCTAAGCTTGGCTGGAATGTGCCAAGGCTCGTTCCATTTGGTGCGAAGGTGCATGTGTTGCAGAGAAGCTGGCACATCCATAAGCGAGGAGAGTGGGTGTCGCGGGTCGTTGGGGCTAGGCTGTTGTGTCCCTCTAGGGAGTTGTCAGCTGGCTATCTTGTCAGGACTGATGCGGGCGAGCTTTCAAACACTCCGTGTGTGTTTGCCGACCTTCAGACAGTAGATCCAGACTCCTTCGAGATTCCTCCCGAAAAGGCCAAGGTAGGCACGCGAGCAGTTAATCCTGACGTTCGGGTTCGTGGCAAAACCACTCTAGGAGTTAGGCCAGCAGTAGCTGAGGCCGAAGCCAAGGGTTCTGAAGAGAGTGCTCGAGAGCATGTTGCCAAGATTCAAGATGTGTTGTCTGAAGATGAGCAAGCGTGGGGCTTGGCCTCCAGTGAGCATTTTTGCTTAGATCGGGCCTCGCAGTTCTTGTTGGGCACCAGCTGGTTGCAGTCTCCGTCGGGTCGCTCGAGGGTGGGAGTTCTTGACGAGGGCGGCTTTGCAAGAGTTTTGGGGTTCTATCAGCATGGGGGGGTGACCGGAGTGACTCGGGAATGGGCGCGATTTCCAGGCTTTGCCAAGTTGCTAGCTCGTATGGTTGCTGCTGTCAATCCCAAGCATGAGTTCACTACTCTCACAATCCTGAATCAAACCCGCGCCAAACCACACAGGGATAAATACAATCTGCCGGTGTCAAACTTGATTTTACCCCTTCGGGTTCCGCCGTCCGGGGGAGGGATCTGGGTCGAGAGGGCGCTGGGGGATGATGCTCGATGGGTTACTCCCAAGATGCGGGTGGCAGGGGAGGTGCAATCTCTTACGCCGTTTCAACCATGCTACTTGGACCCACACAAGTGGCACGCAACAGAGGGTTGGCAAGAGGGTTCGCGTGTGCTGCTCGTGGCGTATAGCCTAAAAGGTATCAGCAGGGCGACTGCGGAGCAGCGTCGAGGCTTGCAATGTACGGGGTTTCGGCTACCGGTTGTATGTGCTGCTGGTGATGACCAGCAGGGGGGAGACCTCCATATAGATCAAAAAGTTCAAAAACCGACGCCTCAAGTGTCGCGTACTGGTCATGTCCTCGAGTTTTCGCCCGCGCATGCTCATGACTTGGAGCGCAGTGAGAGTCATAGAGATTCAGAGCGCTGTGAGGGTCGAGAGAGTGCCGGGGGTGTTGAGAGTCAAGGGCATTTCGTGTGTCATATGGGTCGTGGGGATCCGGGTGAGTGTGCTGGCCCTGAATGGAAAAGGGGCATTCTGAAGTGTGGGAAAGGGGGCTCCCGCCAGGCGTCAGAAAGTAGGCGCATAAGGTGGAGTGGGCCAGCTGTAGAGTGCAAGGTCGCTGAGGATGCAATGTCAACTTGTGCTGTGTATCACAATTCTTCGTGTCCTTCGTGTGCAAAAGATCCAATTGGTTTGTGTTCGATTGCAGAGAGGGACGTTTTTTCCTATGCGAGTGGTAGTTTATCGCTTCCAGCTCCCCTTGGCCAGTCAGTCAGCGCTGGGTGGGGGGCTCGTGGGGGCGATTCGTTTGTAGGGTCACGTGAAGGTGGCCAGGATGGGGACAGGGTGGATCGTGGAGGTTCACGTTGTCCGGCTTTGGATGCTCTGATCCTTGGTCAGTTTGAGGGGTTGGAGGGTGATGGGGCCGGTGGGCTGTTCCTGGAAGGTCCGGGGGAGCTTGAGGCCTGTAGCTTCGACAGGGTCTGCGTTGCTGGAGGCGACGCTGTGCAGGATCCTGATTTCCAGCAGTTGGCGTTGAAGTCGCTGGTTGCTCGCGAGTGTAAGATCGCGGGAAAAGGGGGGTATCCCGATAATGAGCTGCAACATCTAGAAGGTGTTGTGGAGGACATCAGTCGTCTGGAGCAGTGTTGCTGTAAGGCGGATTGCATAGAGTACTCCCTTCTGCCTGATGCAGAGGTTCTCACCACACATACTGTACCGCTAGATGAGGTTGAGCGTCACTATGAGCTTTGGGCTGATGCAGTTCAGGAGGAGGTGGACTCACTTGTTCATGAGAAAAAGGCCCTTAAAGTCATTGACGCAGCTGAGTTAGAGAGGCTCCAGGCCCAGGGAACCAAGGCGACGGTAATACCTAGCAAGGTTGTTTGCACGCGCAAGGCTGGGGGGAGATTCAAGGCTCGCTTGGTTGCGTGTGGGAATCACCTAGGGGGCCAGGAAAAGAACAAGGATGGGGCTAGCCTCTACGCCGGGGGGGTCGACCCAGGGGTCCTTCGTCAAGTTGCGTCTATTGCCACAAAGAGGGTATGGGCCGGGGGAGCTACTGACATAAAGACGGCATTTCTAAACGCAGAGTTGCTTGACAGACATCAGCCCCGTGTTAAGCCGCCTCCGTTGTCCCAAGAGATCCCTGAAGAAGTGATCGTGCTGAAGGTGCCGGGAATTGTGTCTCGACCTGGCCACCTTAGTCGGCAACAGTTCATGCTGGTCCAGAGAGCAGTCTATGGCATAGACCAGTCTCCTAGAGACTGGGGGATCACCAGGGACGTAGAGATAGCTAGTATGGTAGTGCATGTGCAGGGGACTGCCTGTAAGTTTGAGCAGAGCCGGTGTGATTCAAACTTGTGGTTCTTACGCCCGCTGCCCGAGGCAGGCAAGGAGCATGAGTGGAGAGAGCCGCGAGCGTGTTTGCTGGTTTATGTCGATGACATTTTGGCGTTTGCGAAAAAGGGGCTTTTGGAACAAGTGCTTGGCATGATCACGTCAAAATGGAAATGCGGGAAGGTTGAATACATCCCCGAAACGCTCGCCGACCCTCCGTTGAAGTTTTTTGGGTTTGAGCTGAGATGGAGCGGGCGCGATCTGCTGTTGAGTCAATCAGACTATATTCGAGATATGGCAAGTAGATATCCGGAAGCCCCGCGTGTGTTTACCCCAGCTAGCCCCGGTGGAATAGAAGTTGAAGAGGCGTCAGAGCATGCTGCTGAAGACGTTGTAGCATGTCAGGCGGCGCTAGGGGAAGCACTTTGGGTGGCGTACCGCACGCGACCAGATGCCATCTTTACAGTGTCTAGATTGGCCCAGCTCATCACAAAAAATCCTGCAAGGGTGAAAGTGTATGCATTGCATCTAGTGGGATATCTTGTCACGACCCAAAACCTTTGTCTCCGCTACAAGGCAGAGCACGCCAGGCAGGGTGAGCCGGGGGCGACTACAACAGTAGATTCAAAAGGGGTGATTGAAGCCATGACTGATAGCTCATTCGCGCCCGGGTGCGAACGATCCCAGGAAGCGGTGTATGTGTATACAGAAGGTAGCCTTACTGGGTGGATTACTGCCAGGCAGCCGTTTACGGCAGCTAGCACTGCTGAGGCGGAGTTGCTAAGCACGATGTCGGGGTTCTGCTTTGGCCGGGCCCAAACTTACATCCTTTGGGAGTTCTTGGGCACTGAGCCACAGCTAACAGTGGTTAACGACAACATGGCGAGCATCGCAATCGTAAATGGGGACTCCAACAACTGGAGGTCCAGGCACCTCCGCATTCGGGCACATGTCCTTCGCGAGCAGGTGAGGGCTGGAGCGCTGACTGTGGTGCATATAGAGGGCGCAAAGAATGTTTCAGATGCTGGAACTAAATCCTTACCCCTCCCTAGACTGTCATTGCTTCGGACAGGAATGGGTCTCTTAGAGGGGCCTCGCCAGGAGGTTGAAGCACCTAAGGTCAAGGCTCTGATGGAAGTGTCTGCTAATCAGATTCGGGCGGCAGTCTTGGCGGCAGCTATTGCTGCAGCAGACGCTCAGGAACCTGAGCCTATCTCCGGGCACGCTGGGACTTGGGAGTTGTGTGTGTTGCTTTTCCTAGTTGTGTGCACGACTATCTGTATGTGGGAAACCGTAAAGGGATGTGGGCGTTTGTTTGGGCGTGTTCTTGAGAGACGAGGGGCAGAGAGCAGAGTCACTGTTGAGCCTGATGGAGAGCAGAGCCCGTCAGAGAGGAGTGAGCCGGATGCCGAGGACGAACATGTTGAACGCAGTGAGCGAGAGGGTGTCGTTGTCAGGGACCCTGAGGACCAGGATGATCATGATGCTCGTAGAGGGATATGGGCCGCTGACGAAGGTGATGAGACGCAGCAACTCGGGGAAGTGATTGCTCAGTTCCAGTATGTCGATGATGTGGCTGTGCTTGCGCGGCGGGTTGAGAGAGAGGAGGGAGAGAGAGAGCAGGGTTTGAGACGAAGACAAGGACAGAGGGTATATGTCGAAGAACCTGACGGGGAGCCGCAGGTGCAGAATCATGCCGTCGGCGTTCCGCCTTGGCCTATGGGTGGGGTTCACAACGAAAACGGCCCTCAAGGCATTCCAGTTGAGGTTGCACATGCTATCCACCGTGAGGCAGAAGCCTTATTCCGGGTAGGGGCTGTGCGGCTGGTAGACCTTGATCAGTATCCTTTTTGGTTGAGAGATGATTGGCCACCAGCTCCTAATCAGCCCACAGTGGAGTTCCTCCAGCAGCACCAGTCTGCGTGGGGGGGGCTCGAATCAGCCATCCACCAGCTGCCTCCCAACGAGTACTACAGGCGAGATGAATGGAGCACCCCAGGCAATCGTCCTGGAGTTCTGATTCGTTGGCATTGCCAGCCTCGAATCAGAATGTTCTCACCTCGTGGCACCCGAACTCCGATTGAGTTGGGACGGCTGAGCGGGGCCAGACGTACTTTGGCAGTCTATCGTGATGGCACCCAAGAGATCATTGATGATGATTGGACCGAGGGCAGAGATGGCAGAACGTTCCTGAGGATGCAGTTTCAGGGAAGGACTGAGCTGTTCTACCGCTGATTGGCTGGACTCCAGCCAGGGGGAGAGCGTGATTTCCCAGGTGCGGCGCCTACAGAGCCTTCAGCCCCCTGGCACGGCCGGCAGGCCGTGTCAGGCATGAAAGTTGGGGGTGTTTGGGGGGGGAACCTTAAGCTCTTTCGAGCTTGGATCGCCCAACTTTGCCCTCTCAAACAGACGATGCCGATACCATTGCTGCTCGAATGTGTTTGCATGGCCAAGCTCAGCATGGCTCACTGCAGATGATACAGATACGCATCGAGTAGTAGGTTTTTGAGAATCGCTTTGTACAGATTGGCGATACAGAAGAGACAGTCAGACAGACCAGCAGGCATCATTTGTTCTTCTTGTGTTGCTGTGCTGTGCTTAAAAGCTGTGTCTGCGCACCCCGCGAACTCGCGTAGGGTTTAGGGTTCAGGGTTCAGGGTTCAGGGTTTAGGGTTCAGGGTTCAGGGTTCAGGGTTCAGGGTTCAGGGTTTAGGGTTTAGGGTTTAGGGTTTAGGGTTTAGGGTTTAGGGTTTAGGGTTTAGGGTTTAGGGTTTAGGTTGGGTCTGGGCAGGTGTGCAGGGCCCTAAGTTCTTCAGGCCTGAATCCCTTCGCACGCAACTTTTCTATCAAGCCCCCATGGAACCCTGAAGCCCAAAAACCCGAAACTGTAGGGTTTAGGGTGTAGGGTTTAGGGTATAGGGTTTAGGGTTTAGGGACCACTTCCACCCTATGAGCTTCAGGTGCGGCAGCAGGAGTCTGAGAGCTTCGGCTGGGTAGGTCTAAGTCCATCGGTTTAGGGTTTAGGGTTTAGGGTTTAGGGTTTAGGGTTTAGGGTTTAGGGTTTAGGGTTTAGGGTTTAGGGTTTAGGGTTTAGGGTTTAGGGTTTAGGGGTCTCTTGGCTTTCCGGGGGAGTCGCGCGCTTCGAGTCCAGGAGGCCCTCAGGAGTTCCCTAAGCCCCAACCCGAGAAGATTTCCTTAGGCCCTTCCGTCTGACAGCTGGGGGAGAAGCAGTACTTTCGCATCCCTAAACCCTAAACCCTAAACCCTAAACCCTAAACCCTAAACCCTAAACCCTAAACCCTAAACCCTAAACCCTAAACCCTAAACCCTAAACCCTACACATCCCGGGGCTTTCTAAAATAAAACCAGGGGCCTCAAAAGACAGAATAGTCCTAGGCCTCCCTCAGACATCCCCAGAAACATCCCCCCAGCCCTTCTAGACCCAGGAGTAACCTGGGAACAGGAAGGGTGCCCCTTTTTAACCCTAACCCTGAACCCTAAACCCACGAACCAAAAAACCCCCCAAAAATGGAATAAGGGGCCTACTCTGGGTCCTAAGTCCTAGGCCTCCTCCAAGCATCCCACAGCCCAGGATGATCCTTAAAACCCTCTGAAACATATTCCTAAATCTGATCCTCTCAAACCCAACAAGGGAATATTATATATATATATATATATATATTTCATATTTATATTTCTTATTTATACATAATATATATATATATGTATATATATAATATCCCCAGGACCTACCTCCCAAGCCCCTGCTCGCACCTGCGAGAAGACGAAGGCGCTGACGTTCCGGCAGCTGGCCGCCTCCGTTGCACGCGTCGAGGGTTTCTAAACGCCCGCTCTCTCCATTCCCAAAGCCCCCCCACAGGATAACTTTTGAATGTTGAGTTTATTAGTTTATTATACAAACATATCCAAAATCATATCGTAGATTTTTATCTTACTCCAAATTTAATATGCTCATTTTCTGATCAAGCCCTACTCAAGCCATGGCTGCGTGGCTTCTGCACGGCGCGGAAACTGCATCAGCAAGTTTCGATCAAACCGGGAATACGATGAAGGTGTATTCAGGCCTTTACGGGGGTCAGGATGTAGGGCACAGGTGGTCGAAAGAAAAAAAGCCTGAAACCCAATTTAGTACGCAGGCTCAGGGTCAGGCGTCCAGCTTCATCGCGATTTGCTCCTGGGCCTTGGCTCCCAGCTTTCTCAAATTCCGGGGGGCAGTCGAAGTGGGTATTTCCCATCAGAGGGGTACCCCGTTTATACCCCCCCATGGAAAAGAAGCGTCCTTAAAAGGGACACCCCAAAAATGGGCACCCCCCATTTTCGTAAACCCTCCACGTCTTTCTACGTGCTGTTGGACCTGGGCGATACAAGGCCATACGACTACGGCAATTCCCGATTGGGTCCAACACCCTTTATACCCCTAACTCCTAAACCGCAGCGGTAGCACTGCGCCATGACTCAGGCATGGCGTCTTCATATGGTCTCCGTCCAAGGAAAAAACTGCCAACAAAACCAATTCTGAGCCAACATGACGAGATACCAGACTGCAAACGCTTGAACTTCGATCTGGGCTGTCCCCGCTTGTCTGGGAAGCTTCTGGAAGACCTCGAGGCACTTCTCATCCAGGTGCCGCAGCACGTACTCCAGCCTGGGCACGGGGACGGTGCTGATGTTGATCAAAGTCGTGCGCCCAAACTTTTCGGCGACCGGAACGTACTTTTGAACCGTTTGCTACAAGACACCTTATTCTTACAGAAGGTTGCGCCACGGGGCCAACGTTTGTTGCGCAAATGCAGGGTTCCTTCACTCTCGCGCTCCTGCGGGGTTGGCAGGCCTCCGATCTCCTGGACCGGGCATCAGCAAGCCCAGTAAGCCCAAAAACCCCTGCGAAACCAAGTCCTAGGACCCCGCTGTTCGCCTCGAGTTTAAAGGGAAAGCTGAGAAAGCCCCCCACACCTTGAAGCCCTAACCCTAAATCCTAAACCCTAACCCCTAAAACCCCAAAACCCTGCACCACCTATGCAGCCAAAGCCTCGAACGCCTGTCCAAAACTAGCAACTTGCCTCGAAAGCCTCCCCCGAACCCTGAACGTCCCCCGGAAAATGCCCCCAAACATCCCGAAACTGGAGCAGAGATCTTTGTCCGCCAAGTCTCTTCAAACCTCCGGGTTCGGACTGGACGCGCTTGACCTCTAGAGGCCCAAAAAACAACATAAACACAAGGATCCTACTATTGGGGGCATAAGAGCCTCTAGGAGAAACATGTTTGTAGATTCGCGGTTTTTTGGACGCCGAACCTTGGTGTCCCGTTCCGCGCCCGAGTTGTCCAGTTTGAGCTTTGGGGGCTTCTCAAGGGTTCTAGGGTTTTAGGGTTTAGGGCTTAGGGTTTGGGGATGAAGGGTTTAGGGTTTAGGGTTTAGGGTTTAGGGTTTAGGGTTTAGGGTTTAGGGTTTAGGGTTTAGGGTTTAGGGTTTAGGGTTTAGGGGTTTAGGGGTTTAGGGGTTTAATTAGGGGTTTAGGGGTTTAGGGGTTTAGGGGTTTAGGGGTTTAGGGTTTAGGGTTTAGGGTGCTTTGACCCCATGGGTTCAGGTTTATGGGCCTGGGAAGGGGGTGGCGGTGAGGGTTGGGGCTCTTTTGCTGGTTGCTTTTTGAGTTGCCCTTGTCGTCGATGCTTTCATGATTGTGTTCCGAAACTTTCTGGGTTCTGCTAGGTGCCGCGGTACTTTGTAGGGGTATAACTGAACAGAAAACTCTGAGCCAAAAGTTCTATTTAGGGTTTAGGGTTTAGGGTTTAAGATTTAGGGTTTAGGGTTGAGCGTTTAGCGTTTAGGGTTTAGGGGTTTGGGTAACCCCTAAACCATTGTGGTGCTGGGGCTCGGGAAGCCTTGTGCCAAGGGTATCGAAGCTTTGCTGGGCACTGAGGGGCTGAGGGGTTGTGATGTCCTCGGCTCGCTTGTTACAAAAAAAAGGGAAAATTCCCGGCCCTGCAAGCTTGAGTGGGGACAGGGCTTCTGGAATCAGGGCACTTGTGTACATTGTCTACACATCTTCTACTATTTGCTTAAGAACCCCCCAAAAAAGGGAAAAAAAAACAATCCCCTTATTACCCTTATAGGGAAGAATACTTTTTGGGGGAGGTTCTTAAGCAAACAGTAGCCTTACAAGGAATGGGGATGGGAGCGATGGGGTGTTTAGCACTTCGGGTGGGTGCATGCTGGGGCCGCCACACCCGACCAAGTGACCGCGGATGGGTTGTTGCACCTGGCACTCGATGTACTCCGCTCTCACTCCATTTTGCGAACGGGTTGGGGCTTTTGGGGGCTTTTGGGGGCTTTTGGGGGCTTTTTTGGGGGATTTTGGGGGCTTTTGGGGGCTTTTGGGGGCTTTTGGGGCTTTTGGGGCTTTTGGGGGCTTTTGGGGGGGGCTTTTGGGGGCTTTTGGGGGCTTTTGGGGGCTTTTGGGGGCTTTTGGGGGCTTTTGGGGGCTTTTGGGGGCTTTTGGGGGTGGGGGCTTTTGGGGATTTTGGGGGCTTTTGGGGGCTTCGAGGCTCAGTGCTTTGGGGAAGTCGCGCAAGAGGAGCTGGATGGAGTTGAACTTTGTGTTTAGTAAACCGGCGGGATGCCATGTGCGACTGAGGGGATCGCCCCTTCAGGTTGCATAAATTCTTGCTCTTTTGGGGCCAACTTAGGAGCTCAGGACGAAGTTGCACTAAGCCCTAAACCCTAAACCCTAAACCCTAAACCCTAGACCCTAAACCCTAAACCCTAAACCCTAACAATGCCGTGCACGCCCTGCAAGCCCCAACCTCTGGGCGGAAAAGAACCCTAAACCCTAAACCCTAAACCCTAAACCCTAAACCCTAAACCCCATTTGGGGGGGGGGGGATATTCGGAACGACCTTTGGCTTGGGTTAAAACTGGCTGGTTCTCTAACTTTGGTGCTGTTTTATTTACGGGGACCCAGTAAGGGACCCTCACTTCGACAACTACCCAAAGGGGGGTGTACGAAGATAGGGGTGCCCTTTTTGGGGGGTCCCTTTTGAAGGGGGATTCTCTTCTATTCGGGGTATAGAAGGGGTACCCCTATTTTGGGAATACCCAAGTAGTGGTTCTGGGAGCTTTGGGGAGCCCCGCTGGAACTTTCAAAGCCTGCATGAGCATACCTTCTACTCCAAGCTGCCTCGGCTCAAGATGGGGTAGATCCACGATGGTTCACGGC